CCTGCGGGCTCAGGCAATCCACTCACCTCAGCCTCCCAAAGGCGTGGGATTACAAGCTGAACCACTGACCCAGCTAATCATGGCCCTTCTTACTGGAGTTAGGTGGCATCTCATTGTAGCTTTGATTTGCATTTCTTTGGTGATTAGTGAGGCTGAGTATTTTAACATGTGTCTGTTGGCTGTTCATTTATCTTCTTTTGAGAAATGTCTGTTCATCCCTTTTTCCCACTTTTTAATGGGTGCAGTTGATAATTTTAATGTAATGAACTTCAAGGATCATTTTCTTATGTTTTGTGCTTTGATAAGAACCTGCATGAAGATATGTCTAGGCCAGGCACAGCGGTTCACGCCTATAATCCCAGCACTTTGGGAGGCCGAGGTGAGAGGATTGCCTGAGCCCACAGGTTCGAGAACAGCCTGGGCAACTTAGCGAGACTTCATCTCTACAATAAATCAAAAAATTAGCTGGGCATGGTAGCTCGTGCCTATAGTTCCAACTACTTGGAAGACTGAGCCAGAAAGATTGCCTGAACCCAGCAAGTCAAGGCTGCAGTGGCCGTGAGCATGCTACTACACTCTAACCTGGGCAACAGAGCAAAACTCCAACTCAAAAAAAAAAAAAGATATGTGTAATCTAATCTCATTTACTTCTCCCCCCCCCCACCCTTTAGAGACAGGGTTTTGCTCTGTCACTCAGGCTGGAGTGCAGTGGTGCAGTCAGAACTCACTACAGCCTCAAACTTCTGGTCTCAAGTGACCCTCCCATTAGCCCCCTGAGTAACTGGGATTACAGCCATAAGCCATCATGCTCAAGTAATTTTTTAAAATTTTTGGTAGAAATAGAGTCTCAAACTCCTGGGTTCAAGTGATCCTCCTATCTCGGCTACCACACCCAGCTCTCCTCTATTTCTTTACAAAGATTTAAAGTTTGTTTTGCACATTTAGGTCTTTAATTCTCATGGAATTGATTTTTGTTTAGAGTATGAGGCAGAGATCCATTTAATACTGTTTTTGTCTGTGTTGGTAACCATTCAACCTGGCACCATCTATTGAATAGTCCATTCTTCCACAGTGATCTACAAATCTACCCTGTGTTTGTAAAGTGTCCATGCTATATAGGGGTTTATTTCTGGATGCACTCTTCTGTTCCATTTGTCTGCTTATCTGTTCCTACACCAACACCACAGTCTTATTTTTATTGATTTTTTCATAATTTTGATACGAGGTTGTATAAACCCTCATATGTTGTTGTTTTTCAAAATTGTTTGTCTATTCTTGGCCCTTTACTTTTCCTTTAAACTTTAAACCCAAAACCCTTGGGAATTGGAATTATATTGAGTCTGTTGATCTGTATGGGGAGAATTGTTCTTATCCGTGAACATCATATCTTTCCAATTTTTTTTTAGGTCTTTCGTGTCTTTTAGTTAAAGTTTATCATGTTCTTCTAAAGATCATGGACATATTTCTTTACATTTTTCTTAGGTACTTTATGTCTCTATGGTTTTTTTTTTAGTTAGGTTTTTTTTTAATATCATTGTCAGTTTATTGCTAATTTATATGAATGAAAATGATTTTTTTATATGTTTATTCTGCAACCTTGCCAAATTCTCATATTACTTCTGATAATGTTTGTAAAGTATCTTGTCAGAAGTAATATAGTGAACAAGTAAAAACAGCTTTGTTCTTTCTACTCCATACCTTTTTTCTTTTTTCTTTTTTTTTTTTTTTGAGTTGGAGTCTCACTCGGTCGCCCAGACTAGAGTGCAGTGGCCACCCCCGGCCACCACAGCCTCGCCTACTGGGATCCGGCGATCCTTCCGCCTCAGCCTTCCGAGTAGCCGGAATTACAGTGTATGTCAGGATAAAGAAATTCCATTATATACCTAATTTGCTTACAGTTTCTATCTTGAATGGATGTTGGCTTTAATCAACTGCTTTTTCTTGATCTATTGAGAAGATCTTATGCTTCTCCCTTCTTAATGTGATAAATGACATTAATGGATATTCTAGGCTTAAACCATCCTTGCATTCTTGAGATAAATTTGGCTTGGTCAGAGTGGATTTATTTGTTGTTTTCAATTGTTGGATTTACTCTGTTCGTTTTACTTAGAATATTTTTCCTAGCCAGGCTCGGTAGCTCAGCCTGTAATCCCACGCTTTGGGAGGCTGAGGTGAGTGGATTGCCTGAGCCCTGGGTTCAAGACCCGCCTGGGCAACTTGGCGAGACCTCATCTCTACAATAAATTAAAAAAAAATTAACTGGGCATGGTAGCACACGCCTGTAGTTCCAGCTACTTGGAAGGCTGAGGTGGAAGGATCCCCAGAGCCCAGCAGGTTGAGGCTGTGGTGGCCGAAAGCGGCCACTGCACTCCAGTCTGGGTGACAGACTCAAAAAAAAAAAAAATTTTTTTTCCTCTATGATTCACTTGAAATTTTCTCTTTCAGCTTTTTTTAAAATCTGATTTTAGCATCGAACTTATCTTAATACAGTGATTTGGAAAGTGGTCTCTTTATTGCCATTCTCAGAATTTGTGTAAAACTGGAATTTTCTATTTCTTGAAGTTTTAGTAGAATGACACTGTATACCAAGCATGGCTGGCAGTTTTTTGGGTTTTTTTATTCATTTTTTTCCCAACACTTTATCATGAATTTTCAAACATACAACAAAGTTAAAGGAATTATTAAACTTGAATATGGACTGAAATATTCCTCAGAATAATATTGCCCAAAGAAACTATACATGATATTAAAATGTGTGAAATAAAAAATGAGACATAACTATTTAGAATTTCAGAGGGGAGAACAGAAATAATTGAATAAAGACATTATTTGAAGGAAAAGATGGCTGAACATTTTTTGGAACTAATGAAGAATGTCAGATTTAGAATTTAAATGAAATCTATACTTAGAAATATTACAGTGAAACTTTATACTACCCTAATTCTCTCTACCTGTTTCTGATTACTATGCTTTATTTTTAATGTTAATGAGTTTTTTTCTACAAGTTCTTTTTGCATGCTCTGATCATTTTATGGTTTCTTATTCCTTTTTATAATTTAGATTTTCTTTTTTATTTGTATTAAACATATATTTGCCTATGTAGTATATATTTGTATCTGATTATTTTGAAATCCTTGGAGATCTTATTCTATTTTGCTATTGTTATTGCTGTTGATGTTTTCTGGTGACTCTTGTTCATTGTGGAGTGCTTCTTTATGGCCTTTATAATTTTGGATTTTGCTCTTTAATTGACTTATCTTTATTTTTGGGAATCCTGAGGGTCATGGGTGAAGTTTTGTTTCTTCAGAAAATATATGTTGTTTGCTTATGCCAGATTTCCCACAGCATTGCCCCTTTAAATTAGTTACTTGCCTTAGGTTTTCCTAGACAAGTAAGTAGAGAAATTCAAACACAAATCCATATATTATTAACATGCCATGGCTACAGATTTCTAAGTTATACTTTTTTAAACCCAAAGCACTCAGTTTACTTTTCCAGCTGATGAATTTTTCCTAACTCACGTGTTCACCAACGCATCACCTTTGAGACTCCAGGGTCTCTGGACTTAACAACTACCTGTTTTCTGTTAAACTCAAAGCTCTATGTTTCTGAAATTGGCAAGTGACACCTCATGGTACCCAGAGCTTCTGCATGAACTTCACACTCCAATTTTATCCTCTGAGGATTTCTCTTACTTTCTTATAAGACTAACTATGCAGTTTCATTCCCTCCAGCATTTCTTTTGTTTCATACAAAAAAAGAATTTCAGACTACCCAGTTATCTGCATTTCTGGAAATGAATTCTTATAGATTCTTTTATGGATTTGAACACTATTATTCTGAATGATCCTGGTTTGGGAACCCATATTAAATCTGGACAGGTTTTTATTCCTAGGTTTCTCCATTGTGTTAGTCTACCATAACATGCATTTATTTGAGTATGGGTAGAAGGCGGTTTTCATAGACCTTTAGAAGAAAATAGTGATAATTTCTAATGTTTCAAATTATAAAAACATAATGATATCTTTCTGTATCAGGTAGTAGAACTGCAAAATAGATTGTCTGAAGAATCAAAGAAGGCAGATAAATTAGATTTTGAATATAAGCGGCTAAGAGAAAAAGTTGACAGTCTTCAAAAAGAAAAGGATGTGAGTATATTTATTGGGGATTTTTATCTTGAGCACTGCTGAAACTAAGGCAGTGATCTTTAATTCATGTCTGACTATGTTAATTCCTTCTATTTATGAATAAAAACAAGATAACCTATTTATTTTAAAATCATAGAAAGATTTCTATTTGTATTTCACAAATAGATCTAAAATTGGTAAAAGAAAAAAGAATGCTTTTACTTCAATTCTGATTTCTTTTATATAATCTTTTCTACCATTGTTGCCTCTTTTACATTATTTTGCTTATGACTTTATAAGTTTGTAGCTTTTCTGTTTTCTGTAGGATTAATTTGCTGTTCAGCCTATTTTGAATTTCTTAAAAATATTTTTGCTTTGTCATGACTTATGAATACTTCATGTCTTTATTCATTGATCTTTTATGTTTAGGGAAAAGAGTGTTAGGAAATTAATAACTTACTATTAAGTATGGATCTTTAATTTGTACAGCATGTTGCCTTACACATAGTAGATATTTAGTATTGTTAAATGCAAATTTTTTAAATTTTGTCCTTCTATAATCCTTCCATAAAAGATCTAAAGGTAAAACATGTTTGTGTTCACTATTTTTTATCATTCTATTATGCAAGGCAAAGATCACCGATGAGTAAATTCATAAAACTTGAAGCTAACCTTTCTTGCTTCTGTGTCCCTACAGAGGCTAAGAACAGAAAGAGATTCTCTGAAGGAAACCATTGAAGAGCTTCGTTGTGTACAGGCTCAAGAAGGGCAGCTTACAACTCAAGGTAAAAACATTTTGGTACTCCAGACAAGATGGTTTATTTCTAATGGTATCAGTAAAAATACTGGGTTCACTTTAAGAAGATTACAACAGCCGGGCTCGGTGGCTCAGCCTGTAATCCCAGCACTTTGGGAGGCTGAGGTGAGTGGATTGCCTGAGCCCGCGGGTTCGAGACCCGCCTGGGCAACTTGGCAAGACCTCATCTCTACAATAAATCAAAAAATGAGCCGGGTGTGGTAGCGCACGCCTGTAGTTCCAGCTACTTGGATGGCTGAGGCGGAAGGATCGCCGGAGCCCAGCAGGTCGAGGCTGCGGTGGCCAGGAGCGGCCACTGCACTCCAGTCTGGGTGACAGAGTGAGACTCCAACTCAAAGAAAAAAAAGAAGATTACAACAATAAATAAAGATGAAAAATTGGTGAAGAGGCAATAAAATTAATAAAAATTTTGAACTGTTAATCTAGATTTTATAGCTAACAGGCTGTAATTGTGGGACTGGATTTACTTGCCAACTTCTTAAAAATATTTTAAATATTTCATTTTATTAGGTCAAAAGCATAAACATTTGTCAAGTCACCTCTATTAACCTGGAAAGTTTTATTTTGAAAAATTTTTGGTGACCTCTTTAAAAGTATATCAAACTTTCTAAATCAAGCCAGGCACTGTGGCTCTTGCCTGTAGTGTCAGCTACTTGGGAGGTGAAGCAGGAGGATCACTTGAACCCAGGAGTTTAAGGCTGCAGTGAGCTATGATTACACCACTGCACTCCAGCCTAGGTGACAGAGCAAGATCTTGACTCTAAATAATAATTTCTTTTAAAAAGTATATCAAACTTTCTAAAGCAGTGGTTTTTTTTCCATTGAGAAAAATAAAGTGGGTATCAGTCCATTTAGGGATTTACATTCCAAGTAGAAAACTGCTGTTTCTTACATGCAAGGAGCCACACTTAGTACAAGGCTTGCCTTTCCCACTCTTTTGTCATCAGTTGGGATGGTGGAGGCTGATTGATGGCTTATATGGCCTCACGGTTTGTTCACTCCCACACTAATAACCAGCCTGTGGCTTTTCAAGTTACCTGAAACTGGAATTTTTCTTTTCCTTTAACGATAACCTCTTTTTTTCCCTTATTTCTTCTAACAAACCTGATCATCACCTTCCTTTCACTTTTTAACCCCCTCTTGTCTCTATTAATTGTCTTTTGCTCTCGTTCTCCAGTTTTTCCAGCTGCATGTCAGCTATTTTAACTGTGTTCACACCACCACTCTCTTGACCTGTTTCTAGACCAGACTTGTCAAACCCTAGTTCAGATATCCTAAAGTTTTTTTCTCTATTCCAAATTGCCAAGGTCAGCTAAAGAAAATGTTTAGATAGATAGGTAGATAGATAGATAGATAATCTTTGATTGTTTTCACCAAAAATACATTATTTCTGATTGTAACTGGATCCTCATTGCTGCTTATCAGTTTGTGTGTGTGTATGCACATGCATGTGTGTGTGCATGTGTCAGAGTCTCACTCTGTCGTCCAGGCTGAAGTGCAGTGGCATGATCAAAATGATCACAACTCATGGCAGCCTCAACCTCCTGGGCTCAGGCGATTCTTCTACTTTAGCTTCTAAGGTAGCTAGGAGGACTACAGGTGATCATCACACCAAGCTAATTTTGTGATTTTTTTCATAGAGACAAGGTTTCATTATGTTGCCCAGGATGTTCTTGAACTCCTGTGCTCAAGCAGTTTGCCTGCCTCAGCCTCCCAAAGTGCAGGGATTACAAGTGTGAGCCATCGCACCTGTCGCTTGTCAATTTTTTTATGTATCTCTAGTCATCTCTACTTGAGTTTTTACAGTATTTTAAGAATCTAACCTGAGCCTTAACCCTTTTACTCTCACCTCCTGTATCATCAAGAAAAGAAAAATCATCTTATGTAAACTCTCACATTTGTTTCTTTGCTACCTATAAACCTGTATGTTTTAACCTGCTTTGGTTGGAACGTTTGTTCCCTCTGAAACTCATGTTGTAACTTAATCCCCAATGTGGCAGTATTAAGAGAGGTGGGGCCTTTGAGTAGTGATTAGATCATGAGGACTCTGCTAATGTGACTAAATTAAGTTATTCATGGATTAATGGGTTATCATGGGAGTGGGCATAGTGGCTTTATGAGAAAAGGAAGAGAAATCTGAGAAAGCACATGAGTTCACTCAGCCTCCTTGCCATGAGACACCCAGTGCTGCCTCAGGCCTCTGCAGAGTCTCCATCAGTAAGCAAGGCTCTCACCAGATGCACCCTCTTCCTTGGACTTCCCAGCTTCTAGAACTGTCAAAAATAAATTTCATTTCTTATAAATTACTCAGTGTCAGGTATTCTAAGCAACAGAAAACAGACTAGAACATCTCCTTTAGGTACTTATCCTTTGACCTAGTGCTTTGGGGAAAAACTCTCAGACCATGTTTTTCCTTCAGCATAGAAGACTTCTGTGACCATAAGGTGTTGGAGATTTTCCCCACGCACCAAGTAGCAGACACAAGCTGGGCATCTTTCAACCCAGTCTTGACACTCTCTACCTGACTATAGTGTCAGATTTCACAGGGTGAGGGTTCAGTCCCAGAAGACTGTCCCTCTGCCACCATGACACTAGTCAAAAATCCAGGCCTCCAGAACTTCCGACTGGCTTCAAAAGTTGGAGTTTCCACAACCCCCCTCTCTGTGTTCTATTAATTTGTGGGAACAGCTCACAGAATTCAGGTAAACACTTACTTACATTTACCAATTTATTTTAAAAGATATTGCAAAAGATACAGATGCAGAGATGTGTACTTGAGGTGTAGGAGCAGGAGCACAGAGCCTTCATACCTTCCCTGAGTGTGCCATCCTCCAGAACCTTCATGTGTTTAGCCTTCTGGAAGTTCCCTAAACCCAGTTCTCTTGGGTTTTTATGGAATCTTCATGACTTCAGCCTTTCTCCCCCCAGAGTATAGGGTGAGATCCTCTCTGGAGAGGGTCTTAAGACCCACACATCAGAAGGTGGGGAAGATGAGGGTCCTGTCTTGGGACAGGAGGTAGGGAGGATCTGTTTCCTCGGACCTGTCATTGAGATCCACACATTCAACATTGTAACAAAAGACTAACAAGGGCTATGGGAATTATGAACCAGAAACTGTAGGTGAAAACTGATATATATCATAAGACCATACTTAGCAATTTTGCCCTAGAAATTTACCCTAATGAATTAAAACAGTTTTTTGTTTGGTTGGTTTTTGTTTTACTTTGTTTTGTTTTTTTGAGGAGGGTCTCATCTGTTGTCCAGGCTGGAGTACTATAGCACTCATCACAACCTTGATCTGGGCTCAGGCCATCTTTCTGCCTCAGCCTGCAAAGTATCTGAGACTATAGGCACATGCCACCATGCCCAGCTAATTTTTAAATTTTTTTGCAGAGATGAAGTCTCACTATGTTGCCTAGGCTGTTCTCAAACTCCTAGGCTCAACCAGTCCTCCTGCCTCAAGGCCTCCCAAAGTACTGAGATTACAGGTGTGAGCCACAGTGCTCGACCAGCATTGTGTGAAATTTAAAAACAACCTGAAAGTTTAGCAGTACAGGAATAGCATTCTCATTCAACTGTATACCATAGAGTCATTAAAAAGAATAAGGTATGTCTTGTAAATGCCTGACACGGAAAGATATGTATACTATATTATTACATTTAAAAAATAACACCTTTTTGTTTTTTGTTTTTTTTTTGAGTTGGAGTCTCACTCTGTCGCCCAGACTGGAGTGCAGTGGTCGCTCCCGGCCACCGCAGCCTCGACCTGCTGGGCTCCGGCGATACTTCCGCCTCAGCCTTCCAAGTAGCTGGAACTACAGGCGCACGCTACCACACCTGGCTAATTTTTTGATTTATTGTAGAGATGAGGTCTCGCTGCCCAGGCAGTTCTCGAACCCACGGGCTCAGGCAATCCACTCACCTCAGCCTCCCAAAGGCGCGGGATTACAGGCTGAGCCACCAAGCCCGGCTACAACATTTTTTAATAAGCTCTTTCAGCAAACTAAGAATAAAAGGAAACTTCTTCAACCTAGTAAAAGGTATCTATGAAAAACCTTTCATACATGATGTAAGACTGAATGGTTTTTCCCTACAATCAGAAACAAGCAAAGGTATTCACTCTTGTCACTTCTATTCATCATGCTATCAGAGGTTCTAGCCAGTGTAGTCAGACAAGAAAAAAAAATAAAAAGCATCCCTAAATCGTAGGGAGGATATAAAAAAATCAGATTTAATAAATGAGTTCTACAAAGTCTTAAGATAAAAGATCAGTATATAAATACCAATTGTATTTCTGTATACTACCAATGAACAATAGTATGAAAAAGGAAAAAAATGCTTAAAAATAAGTTTAACATAGAAATGCAAGACATACACTGAAAACTGTAAAACATTGTGGAGAAAAAAATAAGATCTAAATAAATGGAGAAACAGTTTATACTCAAGTATTGTAGCATTTATTCTTGTTAAGATTGCAGTTTTCCTCACTGGTATAAAGATTCAGTGTAATCCCAGTCAAAACCTCAGCAGATTTTTTTGTAGAAATTGACAAGCTGATCCTAAAGTTTATATGAAAATGCAGGCCAGGTGTGGAGGCTCATGCCTATAATCCCAGCACCTAGGGAGGCTGAGGCGAGGATTGTGGGTGATCACAGGAGTTTGAGCCAAGGTGACAGAGTGAGACCTTGTCTTTACAAAAAAATTTAAAAATTAGCTAAGTATAGTGGCACACGCCTGTAGTCCCAGCTACTTGAAAGACTAAGACAGAAGGATCACCTGAGCCCAAGAGGTTGAGACTACTGGTGAACAACGAGTATACCACTGCACTCTAGCCTGGGTGACAAAATGAGACACCGAGCTAAAAAAAAAGGGAAAAAAAAGCAAAAGAACCAAAATAACATAAAAAGTCTTGAAAAAAATTGGAGAACTTGCACATCCTTATTTCAAAATTTATTATAAAAGTGCTTTAATCAAGACAGCATGGAATTTGACAAGGGAAGATGTAGAGATCAATGTAATAATGCCACATTAATAGAGTGAAGAGAAAAAAGACATGATCCTCTCAATTGAAGAAGAAAAGGCATTTGACAGAATCAAACATCCGATCATGATATAATAAACTAGGAAAAGAAGAAAACTTTAACATGATAAAGACCATAAATGAGAAACCTATGGCTGATATACTCAATGATAAAATACTTTTCCTCTAAGATCAGAAATAAGTCAAAAAGATACCCAGTTTCACCACTTCTATTCAACATAGCACTGGAAAAACTAGCCAGAGCAATTAGACCAAAAAATTAATAAATAAGCCGGACACAGTGGCTCACACCTATAATTCCAGCACTTTGGGAGGCCGAGGTGAGAGGGTTGCCTGAACTCACAGGTTTGAGATCAGCCTGGACAACTTGGTGAGAACTCATCTCTACAGTAAATCAAAAAAAATTAGTTGGTCATGGTGATGCATGCCTGTAGTTCTAGCTACTTGGAAGACTGAAGTGAAAGGATCAGGATCACCTGAGTCCAGCAGGTCCAGGCTGCCATGAGTGTACCACTGCACTCCAGCCTGGGTGACAGAGTGAGACTCCAATTCAAAAAAAAAAAGAAGAAGAAAGAAAGGGCTTGCATATTTTTCATGTCTGCATGCAAAGGATTGAAGTTGAATCCTTACCTAACACCACGTACAAAAATTAACTCAAAATGGTTCAAAGATTGAAACGTACGAGCTAAAGCTAGAAAACTTTTAGAAGAAAACATAGAGGAAATTTTTCCTTATATCAGGTTTGGCAGTAATTTCCTGGAATTCAAAAAGCCCAGGCAACACAATAAAAAATGATAAACTGGACTTCATCAAAATGAAAAACAACTGTACGTCAAAGGATACTACCAGTAGAGTGAAGGCCATCCACAAAATGGATGAAAATAGTTACAAATCATAAATCTGATAAGGGATTACCATCCAGAATATATAAGGAATTTCTACAACTAGCCAACAGCAGCATAAAATAAAAAATAATAAGCCAATTCACAAATGACCAATAAGCACATGAAATGTTGCTCAACATCCTTAGTTTTAACAAATGCAAATGAACCACAATGAGATACCACTTCTTACCAAATAGGATGGTTGTTACCAACAACAACAAAAAAGGAGGGAATATAATTAAGTGTTGGGAGATATATGGAGAAATTGGAATCCTTGTCATTGCTCATGAGAATGTAAAATGGGGCAGCCACTGTGGGGAACAGTTTGATGGCTCTTGAGAAAGTTCAAAAACAGAATTATGATATGATCCAGCAATCCAGTTCAACTCATATATTCTCAAAATAATTGAAAGCAGGGACTCAATGAGATACTTGTACACAGATATTCATAACAGCATTACTCAAAATAGACAAAATGTGGGAAACAACCCATGTGTCCATCGACAGATTAATGGATAGACAAAATGTGCTGTATACATACAATAGACTATTATTCAACCATAAAAATGAAGTTCTGATAAATGCTGCAATATGGATGATCTTTAAAACATGTTAAGTGAAGCCAAGCATGGTGGCTCACAACTGTAATCCCAGCAGGATTGCTTGAGCCCAGGAGTTGGAGTCCAACCTAGGCAACATAGCCAGACCTCATCTCTGCAAAAAATAAAAAAATTAGTCAGACATATTGGCATGCCCTTGTAGTCCCAGCTACTCAGGAGGCTATCTTCTGAGCCCAGGAGGTTGAGAATTTGGTGAGTTGTGATTGAGCCACTGCACTCCAGCCTGGTTGACAGTGAAGTTCCAACTTAAATACATACATACATACATATATAAATGTTAAGTGAAACAAACAAATAAATAAAAGTGAACATTAAGTGAAATAAGCCAGACACACAAAAAATGAATATTGTATGATTCAGCTTATATTAGGCATCTAGAATTGGCAAATCATTGAGATAGACAATAGCATAGAGGTTACCAGGGCGTGGGAGGGTAGGAATGGGGAGTTATTGCTTAATGGTTATAGAAGTTCTGATTTGGGTGATGGAAAAGTTTTCAAAATGTATAAGTGGTGATAGTTATGCAACATTGTGGATGTACTTAATGATACTCAACTGATTAAATGGTAAAATAATACAAGTAATAATATTGAAAGACCACCATGATACGATCTTTTACTACAGTGATTTTAGCTGTTAAAATTGGTACTCAAAGTAGGGTTTCATGTAGAAATTGTATTAACCAAAGGAGGTGGTTGTGCTTTCTGTTAACTTTGTATTCATGTTTATGTACTTACAGGGTTAATGCCTCTGGGAAGTCAGGAGTCTTCAGATAGTCTGGCTGCAGAGATTGTTACACCTGAAATCAGGCAAGAAAATCATGTTCACAGTAATGTTCCTGTAGAAAATTTATTCCTTTACAATATAAAGAAGTTCAGTTCCTTATTTTTTATTACTGACACTTCTAAGATGTACTTGATGTTAAAAATGTCGTGTTTTCAGCATGTTAGATACTTTCTTCAGCCGACCCAACAGAGAAATTGATTTTCTCACTTGAGTAGGACAGTCTTTCATACATAGAAAGCAAGTGAATATGTCCTAAGTTTGAGTATCTTCAGCAGACATTTAGCAATGCAAACACTTGGCCCATAGACAGTGGTTGTGCTTTTAGCTGCCAGCCTGCAGAATAATCAGTTGCTAAGACTTATCTACTAACCACATGGAATGATCTAGGAAAGATATAATACTGTAGATAGGAGGAAATCTCTCCCAATCTCTACTACTCTTCCCTAATCAAAGTTTACATTTTTATTTAGTCATACATTTTAATAATTCCATTTGTTTTGTTATATACCTAGCTCTACGTATAAGAATGAAAAATAGATGGGGAGGCACCAAGTGTCCGGCAGAAAGAGAAGGCTTTCCTGGGCCTATTTCCCCCTTTTAGAAATAAACACTGACCTTGATTCTTCATAAAATCCTTGGAGATATTAAATGAAATAATGATTGTATGAGAGTTTTATAAACTACAAAATTTGAAATAAGCTTTTAAATCCTTGTTGATTAAATGAAGTCAATTTCTAGTTGTTTGTTTGCTTAACCTTGCTTAAGGATAAACAAAAAGAGTAGACTACAGCACTAAGTCTGGAAACTTCTTTTGCTTTTCTTTCATCTGATATACTGCTTTTATAATTGAGCCAATAAAATTAGTTGAGTGAATTAAAAACTTATTTATTAATATTTATAAATAAATAGTTATATCAAAGAAACAATTTTTAAGGAAACTCATTGGTAATGCAGTTGACTTTCTAAACAAAGAACAATGATAAAGGTTGTACAAATGTGGCTTTTCTGAGTATGACTAGATACATACACCTGTATGGCTATTGTTTTTAAAACCTCTCAATGGAAACTTTTGGCATAACAGAGTTCAGATCAATGCAGACCAAAAACCAATAATCTGACTTGTTACAAGTATATATTTTAACATGTCTATAGGAATGGGTAACTGCATATCCTGAGGGCAATCCTTGTTGAATTTAGTATCTTGCCACCAAATGATTGGTCATTTAAGACCATAGATAGCATTAGAGATCATATTTTTTGATGAGAACCAAAGCACAAATAAATAAATGCATTCATAGCTTAAATAAATCAGAAATGAAATAGGATTTTGAAATCTCATTCATTAAAAGTTAAGATATTTAGAAATTCTGTTATCTTCAGATTGTCCATTCTAAAAAGAAAGTACTTAAGACCCGAAGTGTGATGTATTAGCCAGTTGAAGTAGAAGCTCAATTAATTGAAGGTACTTTTCATTTCTGTTCTGTATATTAAATCTGTAACTGTACTTAGCTGAATTTAATACTTATATTGTATATTAACACACCAGATAATTAGTTTTTATTTTGCTCATTCAGGGAGAAACTTATTCGTCTTCAGCATGAAAATAAGATGTTAAAACTTAACCAAGAGGGTTCAGACAATGAAAAAATTGCCTTATTGCAGAGCCTTCTAGATGATGCAAATCTACGCAAGAATGAACTGGAGACAGAGAACAGGTAAAGTATTATAGGTAGCACAAGTTTTCCCTATTGCCTTGATTTTGATTCCTTTAAACAAAGGTATGAATTGTAGTTTGAAAAGTGGCCATGTGCTGTTCTGTTTCCTTGTAAGGGAACTTTAATCCATTTCTCCACTTTTAGGCAGACTTGCCAAAAGGCACTGTGTCTTTGTATAATGGCGTTGTCCTTTATTTATTTATTTTATTGAGTTGGAGTCTCACTCTGTCGCCCAGGCTGGAGTGCAATGGCACACTCTCGGCCACTAAGCCTCGACCTGCTGGGCTCAAGTGATCCTTCTGCCTCAGCCTTTCAAGTAACCAGAACTACAGGTGTGCTACCACACCCAGCTAATTTTTTGACTTGTTGTAGAGACGAGGTCTCACCATGTTGCCCAGGCTGGTCTCGACCCCGCAGGCTCAGGCAATCCTCTCACGTTGGCCTCCCAAAGTGCTGGGATTATAGACTTGAGCCACCGTGCCTGACTGTCCTTTATTTATTCAAGCAAAATTATACCAGTGCTCTACTGTCTACCCTTCTTCTAATCACTAAGTAAAACAAGGTAAGAAAAAAAATCTCACCATTAATGAAGTTAATGAAGTTTACCTTGTTTCCACAGACCAGCTTTTCCAATGTTCCATCACAATTGAATTGACAAATTATTTTTTTCTGCTCTGTTATTTTTTGTAGCCCTAAAAGAAAATCATTTTTCTTATGAATAGTTTATTTTGAGAATTTAGAATGCACAAAATTAACAATAAAATACATTTTCCATTAAGTTTTCGGCATATGGCATTGTGCAGTCATTCAGAGTCAGTTACTTTAAAATCAGTAGTTTACTCTGACAAGGGTTACATTTATATTTTGTTGTGACTGTTTTTGGAAGTGTTTCTTAGATATGAAATATATAGTGTTTTTTCTTTCTTTTTTCACTGCTGTGATGTTCATTCTGACATTTTTTTATTAATAGTTTTATAGTTTGCCTGACATTACAGATTCTCTTTATTATGCCTGATTGATTTGGCATTTTCCAGATGAGATTCCTACCCTTCCTGTGGCTTAAATTGCTGAGGTAGAATCAGCAATGAATGTACATCAGTCAATACTATGGTGATTGTGTAAGCACCATTACATAAACAGAAGGAGAAAATGTTTTATCAACTTCTATGAGTATAAAGAATGAGTGTGGTTTTTGGGGTTTTTTTTGTTTGTTTTTTTGAGTTGGTGTCTTACTCTGTTGCCCAGACTGAAGTACAGAGGCATGATCACAGCTCACCACAGCCTCAATGTCCTGGGCTCAGACAATTCTTCTGCCTCCGTCTCCCGACTAGCTGGGACTACAGGTACATGCCACCATGCCCAGCTAATTTTGGGGGTTTTTTTGTAGAAATAACATCTATGTCACCTAGACTGGTCTTGAACTCCTGGGCTCAAGCAGTCTTCCCGTCTTGGCCTCCCAAAGTGAGATTACAGGCATGAGCCACCGTGCCCAGCCAAGAATGAGTACTTTTTTGTTGTTTTTTTGTTTTGATTTGGAGTCTCATTCTGTCAGCCAGGCTGGAATACAGTAGCATGATCACAGCTCACTGCAGCCTCAATCTCCTAGGCTCAGGCTACCTGCCTCAGCCTTCCGAGTAGCAGGGACTACAGGCACACACCATCATGCCTGGCTAATTTTTAAAAATTTTTTTTGTGGAGATGACGTCTTGTTAGGTTGCCTAGGCTGATCTCAAATTCCTGGGTTCAAGCAGTCCTTTCACCTCAGCCTTTCAAAGTGCTAGGATTACAGGCATGAGCCACCATGCTTAGCACTGAGAATGAAGGATTTTGAAAAGTAATTAGAAAAAATGGAAAATGGAGATGGTAGAAGAAGGGGATTGTAGGTGCAGTGTCTGTGGGGAAAGTGTTTTGTGTTCACCTCATTAACCATTTGCTGGTTATATTTTAACCATTTTAGTCAGGAAAATCTTTCCCTATCCTAAATCACCCACACCTTCTTTTATAATGCTTTACATTGTTTCTCATAGGCTTTAGTTATTGTTCCTTTGTCATCAGAGACATGACAGCTAGTCATCACTCTTAGAATGTCCATGTGTGGATGACTAGTTATTGTATAAGTGTCTATATTATTAGTGTGTAGTGATCGTTTCTTAAATTAGAACACTGATGATAACTTACCTTCTATACCTATACTAACCATAATGATAATAAAAGCTAAAAGTACCTCTTTGTTGCAAACATTGTGTTTTGAATATGGTGTCTTGTTTATCTTGAAAGTTTTACAGATGAAGGTACTTGGGTTCAGACACAGGCCGCCTGACTTCAGAGCCTCTACCTAATCCATGCTTTTTTCTTGCCAGTTTGTCTTCTACTGTGTTTGCAGAATTTTTTTTCCTGTCTTCCTCTAGCAGCATACTTTTTCTCCTTAGTGGTTTACCCTAAGTTTGTTCTTACTGAGTGTTATAAGTATCCTACTACTTTATAGCACTGGGCTGCATACCAAGAAACCTGAGCTTTAGTCCTACTGAGTCTTTTGACTGTATTATCTTAAAAACAGCTTGCTCATTACCCATGTATCATCTATTAGAAGGCAGTGTTTCTCTTAAACCTCCAAAGTCCTTTCCAATTAGTTTTCCCAGTGAGATAGTATTTTTTATATATCTGTAATACCTGCTGTCCTTCCAACAATATTGGAAGGGGATGAGGGACTGAGAGTGGACCCATGTCAGAACTGCCCAGGGAGCTTTGTCAGAGTATGCATGATCGTGCTTCCTTACCAGAGTATTTTGTGATCTCAGGCTCACCTCTCCCTACATCCCCTTGACACAACTATATGTAATCAGTAATCAGACTTCGATTAAAATGTTAACTAAGGCCATTGCTTTGCTAGACTCTGGTGTGGCCACGTGCTATTTGAGCTATGGCCATTGCCATGTTTCCTAAGCTTTGGCCCACTCTTCTACCTTGGGGAGGTCAATCAGTCAATCAATCTCTCTCATTTCCATTTATTTATTTGTTTGTTTATTTGTTTGTTTTTGAGTCAGAGTCTCACTCTGTTGCCCAGACTGGAGTGCAGTAGCACACTGCTCATGGCTACCACAGCCTCGACCTGCCGGGCTCAGGTGATCTCTCCGCCTCAGCCTTCCAAGTAGCTGAAACTACAGGCATGTAACACCACACCGGCTAATTTTTTTATTTATTGTAGAGATAAGGTCTCACCAAGTTGTCCAGGTTGGTTTTGAACCCGTGGGCTCCCAAAGTGCTGGGATTATAGACATGAGCCACCGCACTGGCCATCTAATTTACTTTTTTAAATAAACTATATTTCCGATCTAAAAAAAAGTGTTAACTAACTAAATCCCTGAAGGGAGGATAGAATAAAGGTAGAAACAATTCATATTCATAGAACACCTGCTGTGTGTTAGGTATTGTGCTAGACACACTTCATATATTTTCCCATTTAATGATCTAAACATTCCTTCACTTGTTCTCATTAAAATACAAAAAATTGCTGGGCACAGTGGCTCATGCCTGTGATCCCAGCACTTTGGGAGGCCAAGATGAGAGGATTGCCTGAGCCCACGGTTTTGAGACCAGCCTAGGCAACTTGGCAAAACCTCATCTCTACAATAAATCAAAAAATTAGCCGGGCATGGTGGCTCATGCCTGTACTTCTAGCTACTTAGAAGGCTGAGGCAAAAGGATCACCTGAGCCCAGCAGGTCGAGGCTGCAGTGGCTGTGAGCATGCCACTGCACTCCAGCTTGGGTGACAGAGTGAGACTCCGACTCAAAAACAAAAAATACATATATATATAATAATATTCTAAACAGCTTCATAAGGTAGGCAATACAATCCTCATTTATTTTGTAGATGAACTTTTTCATATAAATTTACTTGTATTTGCATTACATACTTCATATGAGGAGGGACCCTCCCCCCAAAACATCTGGGATTTATTTATAAAAAATTATGTATTCCTACATGTTTAAACTTCAGTCACCTTCAAAGTACTCTTTATTTGATGCAATACACACCTATCAAGATGCTTTTTCTACTGCTCAGAACAGTTTTTGAACTTGTCAATGTTGATACCTTTTGCTTCTGCCGTTGTTTTGTTTCACCTCTTCCACATAGGCAAAACGTTTCTTTTTGAGGCCTTTTTTCTTTTTTTTTTTTTGAGTTGGAATCTCACTCTGTCACCCAGACTGGAGTGCAGTGGCCGCTCCCGGCCACCGCAGCCTCAACCTGCTGGGCTCCGGCAATCCTTCCGCCTCAGCCTTCCAAGTAGCTGGAATTACAGGCGCGCGCTGCCATACCCGGCTAATTTTTTGATTTATTGTAGAGATGAGGTCTCACCAAGCTGCCCAGGCAGGTCTCAAACCCGCGGGCTCAGGCAGTCCTCTCACCTCAGCCTCCCAAAGTGCTGGGATTACAGGCTGAGCCACTGAGTCCGGCTATTGAGGCCTTTTTTCATCCAGAGATACAAAAAGAAAAGTCTCTTAGGGCGAGATCATGTGAATAGGGAAGGTGAGGGGCATAGAGGTCATGCCATTTGGGGGTAAAAACACTACTTAATATTTAGTGCAGTGTGGGCAGTTACGCTTATAAATCACCCATTGTGAAATAGGCAAATGTGTTAAATGAATATCAAAAAAGAAAATTAACTGAAGCCTAGCACAGCCTCTCACAGCAATGCAAGCTGGTACACTGATGCTGATGGGTTCCTAGAATACTTACCTAGTGGGGGACGCCTGTATTACAAAGGGCCTACCCTCCAAAAAATAATTCTGGGTTTCTTTTTGGTCCTCCCTCATGTTTTAACCATTGTATTACTGTGTTTGCTTATGCATTCTCCACTGAGGGCATTTGAGTTGTTTTTAAAGTCCCTCCAAGGAACCTCTTGGTACAGACTGGATTGTGTTTTATTACGTTTATAATGGCCTCCACCTAATAGGCTTACAGTACTGTTTGATGAAATAATTTCAAAAATGGTTAAGGTGGATAGTTGAAATGGTCTTTAGGTGGTTACATATTTTCATTTTCCTTTCTGAAAAGATTGAACAGAATTACAGTACCACTAATAATGTATTTATGGACCTGTGCCCCCCTACTAATGTGGATTTTCAGATAATTTATTTTCATTACTCAAAAAAACATTCATTTTCTATTCCTCAGTATGAAAAGTTAGATTTGATTAATTTTTTACTATGATTTATTTTAAATTATAAACCTATAATTTCTTGTAACTTGCTGAATGAAAAAAATTTCTTATTGAGTTTTTTGACTGTTTGTATTCTAAACAGTAATTGCCCTGTTTTGTCCTCGATTTAGGGACAGTCTAGCTTCTACTACTACCATTTCACTAAAGTATTTCTTCCTAAAGTAATCTCTTAAATGAGTCACCTCTTCAATGGCCAATCTAGTAGGAACATTCAAAATTTTATCTTCTTTCATCTCTACTGTATTCAATACTGCTACTCAGTTGCCCTTTCTTCAAACTTTTTTTTATTCCAGAATACCCTTTTCTTATGTTTCTTCTAATTCTCTGATTACTCTTCAGGGTGAGGTTCCTCCTTCTACTCCTTGATTGATCTGCTATGGGCCATCTTTATTAGTCATTTCACTTTTTCACATTTCTTCTAGACAATATTATTTATGCTTCTGGCTTCAGTTAACTCCAAATGACTCCCAAATCTGTCCAACTCAGACTTCTCTCTTTGCTTCAGAAATTTTGACAGAAATTTCTAGGCATTTTATTTTTCAACATATAGCAAACCAGATGGTTTATATTCCTTTTTCAACCTGTTCCTCTTGTTTTCCCTTTGTCAATGAATTCCAAAATTCATTCATTCAATTCAAACCTAAGTGCAAGTTTTAATTTCTTGTATTATTTTGCCTTTTCTCAAAATAATTCCTCCTCTATCTCCTTCTATTTCAGGCATATTTAGTAATAATTGAAATAGCTTCCTCTCAGTCTTCACACCTGCTCTGTGACCTTTTTAATAACATCTTCCATTCTAAAACCAATGTGATCTTTCTAGAATACTATCTGGTCATGCTTTCCCCTTCTTGCAATCCTTCAGTATCATCCAAGACCTCGGGAACTAAACTGGTCTGCTGAAGGCTGGTCTTCCTAGAGAGTCAAGTCTTGGAATCAGCATTACTAGAGGTTGTCTGGGTTATTCTAGTTTGAGCCAGATTTGAGACTTGTTGATTTTAGGATAACCCCTAGATACTTTGTATTCCATAAAAGGTTATGCTGGATCTGCTCCTCCCGTTTCTTTTAAGCCATTCTTCCCCTCATAACTTATTCATCAGCCATGCCATTTCTGTACTCACTGTACCCTCTCATTTTTCTGTGCACTTTCGGCATACTGACCTCTGTCTTTTGAATCCCCTTTGCACCCTTAACTACATAAATATTTTATTTGTTGTTCTAATTTCAATTAAAGTTCTCCACAGAGTTTTTGCTTCTTTACCAATTATCATTTCTTTTATATGCCTCTGTGTACTAGTTTGAAGTATTTATCTCATTGTATTTTATTTGTTTACATTTTTACCTCCCCACTAGACTGTAATTCTTTGAGTGCCAGGATTGTTTATTGCTAGTGCTGAGCACTATGCCTGACACACAAGTCTTCATAAACATATATTGAAGTGAATTTCAGGTAAATAGGTGTATGCAAGTACATCAGTTCCAAAATATGTCTTCCCAAACATGCATTAGAAATCATCTAGAAATTTTATGCAATACAAAAAAAAATCAGACGTAAGCTGCTATTTATAACATGATTAATGCTGCTACTATAATATGAAACTTTATTTTACTAATCATACTTTTTTGTTGGACTAATATAAACAACCTAAGGAAAAAAAGGCATAAGTAAATCAGTACTTGGAAAATTAATATACATTTGATTCTAGGCTGGTGAATCAGAGACTTCTGGAAGTACAGTCACAAGTTGAAGAACTGCAAAAATCTTTACAGGATCAAGGTTCCAAAGCAGAAGATGTAAGTTTTAATATGCACCAACAGTGGTCGGTCATTTTCATGGTGTTGCAAAAAGCTGTCACTTTTTTTATTTGATGGTCTCTATCAAAATAATGTAGCATTATATTGGTTATGGAAAATAAACAATGTTTTCCTTTTTGCTAATATTCCTTATAAAAAAGACTGGATAGTATTTTATTGTCTCTTTGATATTCACTGTTCTGGGAATTAGAAGTTCATTTCTGGTTATCAGCTGAAGAATTAATTGAGGTTTTATGTTTTAAATGTGCTCAGTTCAGTATTCAAATATGAAATATAGGGTTTTCCCCATGGTTAAAAAAAAGAAGAAAAGAAAAAAAACTAGTGGAGATTTAGCACATTCAGGTAAAAAATTTTTAATGTAAAATTGACATTAAGAAGAGATATGTAACATTGACATTAAGAAGAGAATGTATCCTGAGCCCGCGGGTTCGAGACCCGCCTGGGCAGCGAGACCTCATCTCTACAATAAATAAAAAAATCAGCCGGGCGTGGTAGCGCACACCTGTATTTCCGGCTACTTGGAAGGCTGAGGCGGAAAGATCGCCGGAGCCCAGCAGGTCAAGGCTGCGGTGGCCGGGAGCGGCCACTGCACTCCAGTCTGGGCAACAGAGTGAGACTCCAACTCAAAAAAAAAAAAAAAAAAAGAAGTGAATGTAATTCCTAGAATCCCATCGTCTCTAAATTTCAGAATCCCTCTTACTCCTTCCCTGCCTCCACACTGCCCTTTTTAATATATTCTCTTAGTACTGTGCATATCTCTATCACAGCTCTGCATGCTCACTCTAGGAAGTGTGTTTAGCAAAGGACTGTGTCTTCCTTTACCTCAATGTGGTCACCTTCTATCACAGGGCTTATGTAGTACATTGTATCCAGTCATTCTCTGGAAAAAGTGTAAATAAATTATATTTTGCAAATCCTTTACATTTATGAGCAGTAATAATAAATAATAACATTTATAAAGCATTCAAAAATAGTATTAAAAGTTTGGAAAAAAACTAAATTTCAGTGACACTCTTTAGTCAGATATTTCATTTTCTTCTATTGCCAGTGTGATTTGCTACATACTCTGGCATTTGAACATAAATCTGTTTGTTTTCATTGATAGAGTCATTTGGGGGGATTAACTTAAAAACTATCAATGTGGCTGATTCCATCCAGCCTTATTAACTTAAAAGGATATAAAAACAAAATGAATCAAAGAAGAGTTGAGTATATTACTTAAACCTTGAGAATATTAGATATATAAAAGTCACTAGTGACCTAATTTTATCAATTTCTCTAATATCACCTAGTTTGTATTGGCAGCATGCCCTTCTTTTTAAGATTGATGATTTTAGTTTATCCCTTAATTAATGTATTGGTAGTCCTTCTTAGGTTGCCAGATTGAGTTCCAATTCTCAAAATTGTCACCAACATTTATACTACCGTATACTGTTATTAAAATCTAAAATGTGTTTTTATCCAAAATGCTAGATTACAAAGAGGTGAAGCAAAACTACCATCAGTGTATTAAATTATTATTAGCCTAATTAATTGTATCTCAGAGATTAACCAAAGCAGGTAATATTTCTTAATTCAATAAAATCACTAGGTCCCTTAAACTGAAGTATATGTAAAATGCATTCTGGTCTTTCCAGCTGACCAGAATGCATTTTATAAGACTTTATGTTGATTTGTTGTGATAGGGAGGGGGAGGGTTTATAGTACATAGGAAGTAAAAATGAGGAAATGTCAGGATCAGCTAAACCTCAGTGTTATAGTGATGGCCATGTGCTTTGTTCTCTTCTTTTAAAACATAGGTAAAAGCATTTATTAATTTAAAAATAATTTGGCATGATCTGAGTAGATATTACTAATCAGATCTAATTAAATATTCTGTGGGCTGTTACTTTAAAAAACATTTCAGAAGTGAGATTCGAGCCTTTTCATGTACTGTTTGCATAAATAAGTCCATTTATTTGACTATCCAGGTACTAATGGGATAACTTTCTCTAAACTAAGCAGAAACTCTCTCTAAGCTCTTTTCTGTATATAGAAAAGATTCAGATAGTTTAGATGGTTTGGAGAAACAAAACAATACAGAATATTTTTTTTCCCCAGCAAATTTTGTTACGATCTTGTCTTTTCTCTTTCACTAACCGACAGTATTGCATCTCAGGAGTGTAACACATATAGCAATCTGCCGAATGGGATTGATCCCTCTGAAGAAGAACAACATAGTTTGTCTGTCTGTTTTCAAAAGCACAACCCTTTCTTATGACCTTAAGTCAGAGTAGGCTTTGCACGTTTTTATTATTTTATGTCTTTTCTTTTCTTTTTTTTTGAGTCAGAGTCACTCTGATGCCCAGGCTGGAGTGCAGTGGCACACTCACAGCCACTGCAGCCTTTATCTGCTGGGTTCAGGTGATCCTTCCATTTCAACCTTCCAAGTAGCTGGATCTACAGGCGTGTACACCATGCCTAGCTAATTTTTCTTGATTTATTGTGGAGACAGGATCTCGCCAAGTTGCCCAGGCTGATCTCAAACCCTTGGGCTCAGGCAGTTCTCTCGCCTCTGCCCCAAAGTACTGGGAATATAGGCATGAGCCACCGCGCCTGGCCTTATGTCATTTGTTTTTAGCATGGAAGCAGAAAAACATTGCTATATCCAGTCATATGGATAATTTGAGCTAGTCCCAGTACATAAAACTTTAGAGAACAAGACAGGAGGAGGAGACCATAGAAGAAATAAAAATAGACATTTCTGAAAAAACAAATGTGTATTTTTTACTTCTGTTTATGAATTACTAAGTCGTTCCTTCTCTTGGCTGCTATGTTTGCTTCATACTAATTTGTCCTCTCTGTCTCTTGGCATGATTTCTGCTCAAGGCTATTGTAAGTATGGCTTTATTTTCATTTTTACATAGTGAGCAGTTTTTGGATGTAGACATTATCTGCCATCATAGTTGATGGTGTTGAAATTCTTAAGTTAGCAATTTCATGCAAAAGGAATGCCAATGCTACTTACCTTTATAATTAAAATACTTAAAGGATATAAAAATCTTAAAAAGTCAAACCGAAGAGAAGTCCTCTCTTGGTTTTTTCCCTCCATCTCACTCCTGTTCCACCCCATTATTATAATTATTTTATTTCTATAAACTATGTTGATGCTAGCTTCCTGTCGCAGTCTAGCCTCCTCCTGCCACATGCTTTGACAGTAAGTCTTCAGTATGGAGAGGCATTGCAGCCTAGAAAGCCTGGAAGTGAAGGCCATGCATAGACCTGGGTTTTAATTCTGGATATATCATTTAAAAGCTACTAAATATTCTCCAGCCTTACCCTCCTCACCTGTAAGATGGAGTTAAGACTACAGTGTTAATAATACATATGACATGATTTGGTGCATTGCCTGTCATATTAACCACCCACTTAATTATTTTGTTATATATTATCAGTTAAAATTTTGCTAGAGTCTAGTCAAAACATAAGTGCAAAATTAAAGTTAAGTTTTTAAAAATTTATTTACATTTTACCCTCTGTACTAAAGAAGGATTAAGCCATAATCAAAAGTTAATCAGGCTATCTTTTTGTATATTTTTGGGGAGCAGTGATAGAGGACATTGTGGTCCACTGATCTGGTTATCATTAACTTACTGAGCAAAGAGGTAAGTTTGATATATTCCAGAACTGGATTAGAATGGACTTGAATAAACAATTATGGTAATCATGATCAAATAAGGCAACTGAAAATCAAAGAACTTAATATGAAGGTTCTTTTTCCCATATTGTTGGTATTGACTGATTAGACAATTTTTTCCTGCCTTTCAAGAGACCTCAATCAAAGCTCATCTCTAACATAGTAAATTCTGTGCATATACCATCCTTCTCATTCCCATATCATTACAAAATTATCTGCAATCTGTGCATATTTATAAATCGCTGATTAAGTCAGAATTTTTATGGAAATTGATCCAAGACTTTATTGTGAAGCAGAGAAACAATATAGCAGATAAAAAGTGTTTTAAAGAAAATCTATTATTATTAGAGTCCTACATGCCTGATGAGTCCAGAAATATTAGACCTACACTCAAGTGTCTTTTACATTCATTTCCTGACTTCAGAGAATTCAGATATCCAGTTTCTGGGTGTTATATACTGACTGCTGTCCCTTATGGACTGCTCTCTCCCTTTATTAAACTGGGGTACATTCAGTATTTTGAACTCTTTGACCAAAGAAATTACTGAGGGCTCACTCAAAATGAATTACTATTGTACTTTTAATTTTAAAAATATACATATTAGTTAAAATGTTAGGTAATAAACTCATTTTTATTTTTCATTTTTAGTCAATTCTCCTTAAAAAGAAGCTTGAAGAGCATCTGTAAGTATAAAAGCTTTCGAGGCTCATTCTTCTGTTGTGGAACATGAGAGCTTTGTGTCAGGTGGTTACAGTATCTAGGCCATGGCACAAGTGGCCCTGGAAGAAATAGAAAATCATAACGCATATTAATGTTGTCTGAAGGGTCATCTCCACCCAAGATCCTTAAGGCAAAAGTATGACTGCTTTAGAATTGTTTTCCTTAAGGCAAAAGAATGACTGCTTTAGAGGGTTTTATATGTTTGTGATAATATTTCTAATCATCATTAGGAGTTTGAGACACTCCAGATCATAGGTTAGAAACCTTTTTCTATAAAGGATCAACTAGTAATTACTCTGCTGATACAACCACTCAGCTCTGCAATTAGAGCTTGAAAGCAGCTGTAGACATTACATAAACTAATGGCTATAACTGTGTTCCAGTAAGATTCCACAGACACAAACAGGTAGCAGGCTAGATTTAGCCCACGGGTTGTAGTTTGCTAGCTCTAAAGTATGACCAACCTAGTCTTCCCCTTTTTTTGACTCTGTCACCCAGGCTGGAGTGCAGTGGCACGCTCATGGTCATTGCAGCCTTGACTTGCTAGGCTCAGGTGATCCTTCCACCTTAGCCTTCCAAGTTAGCTGGAACCACAGGCCCACGCACCACCCCACCTGGCTATTTTTTTTTTTAATTTTATTGTAGAGATGTGGTTTTACTAAGTTGCCTAGGCTGGTCTTGAATCCCTGGGCTCAGGCAATCCTCTTGCCTTAGCCTCCCAAAGTGCTAGGATTACCGGCATGAGCCACCACGGGCATTTAAGTAAATTTAAGTAAATTTTTTAAAGCACAAAGCTTGTTAGTAGCAGATTTTTAAATATTTCCTTGAGTTGCAAATGTATCTGAACATGACTTTTTAATCTAAAAGATGGAATAAATTTTAAAATACTAGTAATTTTTTTTCTCATAAAGAAGAATCTTTATCCATCTTTATTTTTACCTGAGATTTACAATGTTAGAAATGCTTCATAATTTTTCTTGCACCCAGCAACAACCTTGATCCTTTCTATCACTTTCTTTTTTTTTTAAGTCGGAGTCTCACTCTGTCACCCAGACTGGAGTACAGTGGCCGCTCCCAGCCACCACAGCCTCGACCTGCTGGGCTCCAGTGATCCTCCCGCCTCAGCCTTCCAAGTAGCTGGAACTACAGGCGGGCACTACCACACCTGACTAATTTTTTGATTTATTGTAGAGATGAGGTCTCGCCAAGTTGCCCAGGCAGGTCTCGAACCCACGGGCTCAGGCAATCCACTTAGCTCAGCCTCTCAAAGCGTGGGATTACAGGCTGAGTCACCGAGCCTGGCTCTTTCTATCACTTTCTAACAAAACTCCTTGCGTTACCTGTTGAGATGTTATGGTGTTACACTATGCTAAAACTAGACATTTTCAGTACCACAGAGATAATTTTTATTTGCTCTGCTAGGATTAGAAAGAAGTTTTTGTTCTCTGGCAGTTTGCCTCATGCTATCCAGTTTTGGGGGTTTTTGTTTGTTTTTAATTTGGGAGGCATGAGATAATCTTAGCAACTGAGATTTGCCGACAGGTCTAAAAATGGTCAAATTTTTAATGTACTAGAACAACAGAAAGTTACTTCTGGCCTTAATGAGATTACCTACAATGAGAATTCAGTACTGAATTCTATCCTTATTTTTTTTTAATGTCCCATTCCTTTATAACAAAAAATAGAATACCTATTATTTCACAAAACTACTGTCTGTTCATTGTTCTGTGTTCAATCATTTACATGGTAAAAATCTTCATTATAAAGGATTTATTAGTGAAGATGGAGCCTGTACTAGCTGCCATAAAAAAAATCACCACACACCAAGTGGCTTATGACAACAGAAATGTATTCTCTCATAGTTCTGGAGCCTAGAAGTCTGAAATCAAGGTGTCAGCAAGTTGACTCCTTCCAAAGTTTCTGAGAATTTTCTCTGTGCTCCTCTCCTAGCCTCTTGTGGCTGCCAGCAATCTTTCATGCTCCTTAGGTTGTAGACATCTCACTCCAATCTCTTTCTCCATGTTCACATGGCCTTCTTTTCTCTGTATGTCTGTGTCTTCACGTGACCTTTTTATAAGGACACAGGTCATTGGATTTAGGGACCACCCTGATCTAGTACGTCCTTACCTTAACTAATTATATCCATAAAGACTCAGTTTCCAAATACTGTCACATTCACAAATCCTAGGCATTGGAACTTTGATTTTTCTTTTTGGAAGACACAATGCAAGCCATCACAGGGCCCATAGATATCTCAAAATACAGCCAGTCTCATTCAAATGTAAAGCACACCAAACTGGTAAACATTTTAACAATCAGATATACTATAACTATCGATTAGTATTGCTAAAGATGTTAGGCAGTGATAATTCTCATCCATTGCTGGTAGGAGTATACATCAGTCTTCTTAGCTTGAACATGCACACATTCTGTAATCTCTCAGTTCTACCATATATACTGTAGATTTCTAGAGATGTTGCTTTCCACTTGTGGAATTAGTAGAAGGAAATATGGAGGAACATTGTTTGTAATCACAGAAAAGTAAAGTAGAAACAATACAAATGTCCACCAGTTGAAAAATGATAGAATGAGGTACATTCAAATGCATCTCAAGAACATAATGCTTAATAAAAGATACAGGTCAGAATAATACATGTGTAAAGTAAAAATTGGGCAAAATTAAGCACTATATTGTTTAGGAATGACACAAGGGTCATAAAACAATCATGAAAATTATTAGAATGATTAAAATTCTGGATTTTGGTTGCCTCTGGGAAGGGTTTAGAGATATGTGTGACTTCTAAGGTTTGGAATGATTTCTATTTATTGTGAAAAGATTTATTAAGTATTATACATAGAAATGATCAGAAATAGTCATAATAAAGTGCTCCTTCTTTTTAGTGTTTTTCTTTATCTGCTTTGCAGCCTTTTTTCCTAACCATGCTGTGTAGTGTCATATTAAATACAAGGGGAGAACAAAAAAACCCTGGAATTTATTTACTAAAAAATTGTATATTTATTCTTACATGTTCAAACTTCAGTCACCTTCAAAGTACTCTCTGTTTTATGCAGTACACCTATCAAGATGCTTTTTCCACTGCTCAAAATGGTTTTTGAGCCTGTCAATTTTTATACCTTTTAGTGCTTCTCCATTTTTTGTTTTGTCTCTTTCACATCAGTAAAATATGTCCCTTTGAGGACTTTTTTCATCTGGGGAAACAAAAAAAAGGGTGAGATCAGGTGAGTAGAGAGGAATGGGCACAAGGATCATGCTGTTTTTGGTCAAAAATTGCTGAACATTCAGCATAGTGTGGGCAGGTACACTCATAAATCACCCATCATAAATAGGCAAACATGATGAAAGAATTTAAAAAAGAAAATTCAACTGAAGCTCAACACATCCTCACAACAATGCTAGCTGCTACACTGATGCTGATATGTTCCTAGAACACTTACTTACCTAGCCTGTACAACAAGGGTCCCACCTTCCAAAAGATAATTCCAGTTTTTTTGGGTTGTGCCCTCATACTATAAAGGCAGAATTATTTATATTATGCAAATACCAGGGAAAAAAGGAATGATGGAAAAAAGGCAATTAACAGTTGCCTTCTATTAATTCTTTTACTTTTATATTGGAATATGACTTATAGTAAAGTTCACATATCCTGAGTTCCTAAGTTTACAGCTTGGTGAATGTTTGCCTACATACTTATGTAACCGAGATCAACGTATAGAATATTGTCAGTAATCCAATGGGATTCTTCAGTCTCCCTTCCACTTGATTGAGTGCATCTCCAAACTAGCTGCAGTGCTGATCTGTTTCACCCTCCATTTGTTTTCACACTTCTGAATGTATATAAATGAAACCATATGTTATTACCATTTGACTTCCCTTGCTTAACATTATTCTGTGAGATATAATCATGTAGTTGCATGTTTTATTAATTTTCTCTTTTATTGATGTATAGTATTTCTGCTAATTCTTATTTTTTAGCACTTCGTTTTTTTGCAACAAGATTTTGCATTGTAAAATCTCTGCATAGTTGGTGGTTGTTTGTTTTTGTTTGCTTTGGGGTGTTTGTTTTGTTTTTACAGAGACAGGGTCTCACTATCTTGCCCAGGCTGGTCTTGAACTCTTGGGTTCAAGCAGCGTTCCCATCTCAGTCTCCCAAAGTGCAGGCATTACAGGCATGACCCATCGCGCCTGGCCTCTACAAGGTTTTAAATTTAAATTTTTACAATATCCTTATTCCCAAGCAGGAAAAAATCTGTCTCCTCTCTTAATGCATGTTTATGTAAAAGAAATGACTGTTGTTTCTAACAAAAAGAGAAAATTTGTCTTCTTATTTTTAAAGCAGATTAAGTTCATGTTATCTTAGTCTTTTCATCTTTGTTTTCTAGCACTTGTGTGGAATGCCAGCATAATCCAAGTATAAAGAACTTATAAATTTTAATTTGAAGTGGGAAAAAAATACAGAAACAGCAGATGACACAGTGTACTGTATTTTTTTATAGAGAGAAACTACATGAAGCCAATAATGAACTCCAGAAGAAGAGAGCCATTATTGAAGATCTTGAGCCAAGATTTAACAACAGCTGTGAGTAATTAGTATAGTTATAAAATGGGCTGGCCATACATAGTTGATAATGAGTTTATATAAAATTTTTCTTTAAGGAATGGGCCAGGCCCTATTACATATTCTAGCAATTAAAGAATTTGCTTTATGTATAGATAACATATATAATCATCTTTATAATATCTTAAATTTGTAATTATAGTTATGAATTTTTCCTTAACTATGGATTCTAATATTATATGAGGTTGGATATGTTTGTATTGTAGTTGTATGTAAGGTAGCCAGACTTCTACTTCCATTGATATTTACACATGTGGGTAGCTTGACTTTGTTAATTCTTTTGTAGATTTTTCCCTTTTTCTATTGTGGTAAAATATACATAATTAAACAGCCATTTTAAGTGTACAATTCAATGACATCAAAGACATTCACATTATTGTAAACTGTCACCATTTCCTATCTGCAAAACTTTTCTGTCATCCCAAACTGAAACTCTACTCATTAAATAGTAGCTCTCTGATTCTGCCTCTTCCCAGCCCGCGGTACCACTATTTTATTTCCTGTCTCTGTAAATTTTGCTATTCTAGATAATTCATATAAGTGGAAGCATAAAATATGTTTCCTTTTGATTTGGCTTGCTTCACATACCGTGTCTCCATGTTGTAACATGTACCAGAATTAAGGCTGAATAATATTACATTGTATATATAGATGCCACATTTTGTATATCCATTCATCCATCAATGGATACTTCTTAACCCTTTGCACTGGGCGACATCTAGCAGATCACCTCCCAGCAACTTGACTGTACTTTTTAATGAAATACTGAAAAACAAATTCATATGAAATAGTATAGCATTAGAACTAATGTAATGATATTTGGCCTATAATGGAATTTTGGACATTGAGAAGCTTATTTATGACCCAAAAAATCAAAATTTTATATCATATTTTTCTAATATGTGGTATAGTATGTGAAACAGTTGTGAACATGCTTTATAGGTTCATTGATACATGTTGTAAGGTAGTAATTTGTTTGATGTGTCCCAACTGGTGTTTTTCTGTTTGAGCAGACAATGCAGTCTCATTTTCTTCCTCCCACATTAATAATATGTAATGTATTGTCCAATCTGTTGTTCAAAAATGTGAAAGAGGCTGGGCACAGAGGCTCATACCTGTAATCACAGCACTTTGGGAGGTGGAGGCAAGATGATTGCCTGATCACAAGTGTTTGAGACTGGCGTGGGCAACTTGGCAAGACCTCGTCTCTACAATAAATCAAAAAATTTGCCTGATGGTTGCGCATACCTGTAGTTCCAGCTACTTGGAAGACTGAGGCAGAAGAATCGCCTGAGTCCAGCAGGTCAAGGCTATAGTAACCATGAGCGTGCCACTACACTCCAGTATAGGAGGCAGAGATGTGACTCAAAAAAAGGGGGGGTGGGGGGAGGATGTACTCATGATTCCTGAAAACCACTTCTAAACTGATAGATCATTACTCAGTGTATAGTCCATCTGTTTATTTTCTTTTTTATATATATGTGCAATTTAAAGGGAAACTTTAAGGAAATATACATTTTTGAAAATGTGTACTTGTGTAAGTTTGTCCTGTATAATCACCAGCAATCTCTTTATGTCTCAGAGAGGGTACATCCAGGTGCAAAGGGTTAATTTATGTGTTTTCATACTGGAACTTTTGTTTATTTATAAGAAAAGCTTTTTGTAAAAAAAAAAAAAAAAATTATGAATTAGCTTTTTAAAATTATGTACAGAAATAGACCGAACAATCTCTCAAAGCTGTTAACTATTTATTGTAAGTCAACTGAAATATTTTTGAAGTTTCTACAATCTAAATTTTTTTACTATGTATCATCTGCAGCCTTAAAAATTGAAGAATTACAAGAAGCTTTACGAAAGAAAGAAGAGGAAATGAAACAAATGGAAGAACGATATAAAAAATACTTAGAGAAAGCCAAAAGTGTAGGTATAGATTTCTGGATGTTCTCATTGTACTTTTTGATCATGTTTCACTGAAGTCTCAAAATATAGTACATGTCTAGTACCGTGACTTCTCATGTAGAGAACTAGTAACAGAAAAACGTGATAAATCTTTCAACAAACGAAAAGACTGGGGCCAGGCGCAGTGGCTCATGTCTATAATCCCAGCTCTTTGGGAGGCCAAGGTGGGAGGCTTGCTTGAGGCCAGGAGCTTGAGACCAGCCTGGTCAACATAGTGAGACCTGATCTCTACACAAAAAATTTTTTTTTTTAATTGAAGTCTCACTCTGTTGCCCAAGCTGGAGTGCAGTGGCATGCTCATGGCCACCCTAGTGTCGCCTGCTGGGCTCAGGTTATCCTTCTGCCTCAACCTTCCAAGTAGCCAGAACTACAGATGCACACTACCATGCCTGGCTAATTTTTTTATTTACTGTAGAGATGAGGTCTTGCTAAGGTCTTATCAAGGCTGTTCTCAAACCCATGGGCTCAGGCAATCCCCTCACCTTGGCCTCCCAAAATGCTGGGATTACAGGCTTGAGTCACCATGCCCAGCCTACACAAAATTTTTTAAAAACTAGCCAGATGTGGTGACATGTGCCTGTCATCCCAGCTACTCAGGAGACAGAGGTGGAAGGATAGTCTGAGCCCAGGAAGTCGAGGCTGCAGTGAGCTATGATCATGTCACTGTACTCCAGTCTGGGTGACAGAACAAGACACTGTTTCTAAAACAAACAAACAAAAACAAAAGAAAAAAACAAGAGCCTGAGCAAGAAGCAATTATCAAAATAGGTCACCCCAGCTGCTAAAAGGAAATTATACCTTGTGTAGAAAATGAGTAGCAGTCACCACCAGTCATAAAAATTAACAACATTAATTGATGGTAGGACAGCCAACATCCTGTCTCCTGCAGTGCTCCTGTAAATAACAGCTAACCTGAGCCTAAGTACTCTTCTAGACCTGATGTCTAGGTCACAAGAAAAATGACATTTATTGGGACAAGTTAAATAACACCTTCAGGAGACCATCAAGTAAATCCAGAATTCGGGTTAAAAGTCAATGTCATAAAAAATAAAAACAGGCAGAGGAGTATGGGAAAGCATGGGAAGCTATTCTGATTTAAAAGAGCTGTACCTGTTCAGAAACTACTGTGGGGCACAATGTTCACTATCTGGAATGGGCCACTTGAGACCTTGTCCCCACCACTACACAATATGTCCATGTGACGAATATGCATGTGTACCTCTGAGTCTAAAACTACAAAAAAGAAAACAAAACCCACCTAGTTGCCAATTTAGGATTGGAGTAGAGGACTATAAAAGACATTTTGGGGATACCTGTGGAAATTGGATTTTTATTAAATAGTGATGATTTTATAGAATTGTTCATTTTATTACAGCTAATAATTGTATTATGATTATGTAGTATAATATCTTTAATCTAAGGAGGTTCACATTGAAGTATTTAAGGCTTATGTGTTATGAGGTCTGAAAATTACTTTAAAATGGTCCCTGAAACAAGCTTCTATGTGTGTGTGTGTGTGCGTGCGCGTGCATGTGTGTGTAGCAAATGGTGAGTCTAGGTTAAAGTTAAATGGGTTTTTATTCTGCCCTTTCAAGTTTTCCATGGGCTTGAACATTTTGATGGTAAAAGTATTGGAGGGAAAAGTAAAAAGACCTTTCCCAGAAGTCCAACCAGAATTGCATCCAGTGCCAGTGCCCAAACCACACTGCCAGCAGAAGAGGAGGTGGGATCACCATGATAGGCTTAAACCAGTCAGGACCTATTCCCTGGAGTATGTACCTGTACAGAGATAGAGGGCTAGCCAAAGCAAATCAGAGGAAAGGAAAAAGGTAGACAGCTGTCAGTAGTGTCTGCTGTGTAGTCATATATCAGTTAACATTATCTGGTATTTCTAGTGTAAGCTTATAGCTTTTAGGCTACAAACTTGTATAACATGTGCCTATACTAAATTGTGTAGGAAAATAGTAACATAATGGTAATTATTTGTGTGATAGGAATTTTTCATCTTCATTATAATTTTATGGGACCACCATCATATATGTGGTTCATTCTTGGTCCAAATGTTACATGGCCCCTGACTGCATTTATTCATTTTAACTTTAAGCCAGAATTACTTTTTATAATTGATTATTTTATATAATTAAAAAGTTAAAAATATGTGCAACTATTATGTATTCATTAAAAATTTTTTAAGTTAAAGCAATTAATATTGTTTCATATGTTCAATTTATAGCACCCTTGTAAAATAGCCTTTAATTCTCATAGGTTTATCATTTGATTTTTTTTCTTTAGAGTCAGAGTTTTACTCTGTCACCCAGGCTGGAGTGCAGTGGCATAATCACAGCTCATTGCAGCCTTGACCTCCTGGGCTCAGGCAATCCTTCCACCTTAGCCTCCTAATTAGCTAGGGCTATAAGTGTACAAGACACCTAGCTTTTTTTTTTTTTTTTTTTTTGAGTTGGAGTCTCACTCTGTTGCCCAGGCTGGAGTGCAGTAGCACGCTCATGGCCACTGCAGCCTCAACCTGCTAGGCTCAGGCGATCCTTCCACCTCAGCCTTCCAGGTAGCTGTAACTACAGGCATGTGCCACCATGCCCAACTAATTGTTTTGATTTATTATAGAGATGAGGTCTCACCAAGTTGCCCAGCCTGGTCTCGAACCCGTGGACTCAGGCAACCGTCTCACCTCAGCCTCCCAAAGTGCTGGAATTATAGGGGTGAGCCTTCACACCCAGCCCACACTTAGCTATTTTTTTTAAAAATTATTGTAGAAATGGAGTACAGTATAGAATACAGTTGTCTTTTGCACATTGATTTTGTACCCCGAGACTTTACCAAAGTAGCTTATCATCAGTGCAAGGAGACCTTTAACAGACTCCTTAGAATTTTTAAGGTATAGAATCATATAGTCTGAAAAGAGGGATAACTTGGCCTCCCAAAGTGCTAGAATTAAGATGTGAGCCACTGTACCTGACCTGATTTTTTTCCCAATAAATGTAATTCATCCATAAACATAATTCAACGCATTAACAGATGTAAAACCAAGAATTACATGATTATATCTTTAGACACAGAAAAAGTAGTTGACAAAATCCAGCATCCCTTCTTTATAAAAACTCTTGAGCACCTAAGCATAGAGGAAACATTTCTCAAAACACTAAGAGCCATCTATGATAAACCCACAGCCAACATTTTCAATGGGCAGAAGCTGGAAGCATTCTCCCTGAGAAAGGGAAGAAAATGAGAATGACCACTCACACCCCACATGTTCACCATAGTTCTGGAAGTCCTAGCCAGAACAATCAGGCAAGAGAAGGAAATCAGGGGTATCCAAACAGGAAAAGAGGAAGTTAAGCTATCCCTCTTTTCAGACTATATGATTCTATACTTTGAAAATCCTAAGGAGTCTGTCAAAGGTCTCCTGGCACTGATGATAAGCTACTTTGGTAAAGTCTCAGGGTACAAAATCAATGTGCAAAAGACAATTGCATTCTATACACCAGCAACAGGCAGAGAACCAAATAAAAAGCACAATCCCATTCACAATAGCCACAAAAAAATGAAATACCTTGGCATCCACCTAACCAGAGATGTAAAAGACCTTTACATCGAGATCTACAAAACACTGCTCAAAGAAATCAAGGATGACACAAACAAATGAAAAACCATTCCATGCTCATGGATCAGAAGAATCAATATTGTCAAAGATGTTCATTCTACTCAAGGCAATCTACAGATTTAATGCAATACCTGTCAGATTACCAACATTGTTTTGTCTCAGACCTGGCAGTAATACAGAAATTCATATGGAAACAAAGCAAGATAGCTAAAACAATCCTCAGCAAAAGGAACACAGTGGAAAGTATTACACTTTCTGACTTTAAACTTTATTATAAGGCTATGGTAACTAAAACAACCTGTTATTTGTACAGGAATAGGCACATAGACCAATGGAACAAGAAAGATTCCAAAAGCGAAATCATGTTGTCTCAACCAACTCATCTTTGACAAAGCCACCAATAACAATCACTGGAGAAAGGAGACCATATTTGGCAAGTGGTGCTGGGAAAACTGACTGACCACATGCAGAAGAATGAAATTGGACCTCTACCTGTCACCATATATAGAAATCAACTCAAAATGGATCAAAGACCTAAACATAAAACCTCAAACTATAAGAATCCTAGAGGAAAATGTAGGAAACACCCTTGTTCTCATCAGAGTAGTCAATGGATTTTTGACAAAGTCCCCAAAAACAAATGCTATAAAAGCTAAGATAGACAAGTGGGACCTCATCACATTGAAAAGCTTTTGTACGGCAAGAGAACCATCAAGAGAGTAAAGAGACACCCCACAGAATGGGAAAAAAATATTTGTAAATTATATATCTGATAGACGCCTAATATCCAGGATCTACAAAGAATTCACACAAAGTGAAAGGGAAAAACAACCCCATTAAAAAGTGGGCTAAGGACATAAACAGACACTTCTCAAAAGACAAAATACAAGCAACCAGCAGGCACAAAAAAATGCTCAGCCTCACCAGTCATCAGAGAAATGTAAATCAAAGCTACAGGGAGATACCACCTAACCCTGGTAAGAATGGTTATCATTAATAAGTTAAAAACAACAGATGCTGGCACTGGTGTGGAGAAAGGGGAATGCTTTACACTGTTGGAGGAAGTGCAAACTAATTCAGCCTCTATGGAAAGCAGTGTGGTGATTCCTAAAAGAAGTAAAAATTTACCTTCCACACAGTCCTTCCCCTGGGAATATACTCAGAGGAACATAAATCACTCTACCAAAAAGACACCTACACATATGTTTATTGCAGCACTGTTCACAATAGCAAAAATGTGAAAACAACCCTACTGCCCACTGAAAGTGGACTGAATAAAGAAAATATGGTGTATATATATACGATGGAGTAGTACACAGCCATAAAGAAGAGCAAATTATAGACTTCACAGCAAGTTGGATGCAGCTGGAGACTATCATACTAAGTGATCTATCACAGAAACAAAGAAATGAATACTGCACATTCTCACACATAAGTGGACCCTGAACATTAATCCATTAGCACAAGGGAGGGATAGATGGATACTGCTAGGGGAGGAAGGAAAGGAAAAGCTGGGGAGCATGTGACAACACAAAGAGTGCCTGGTCCACTACCAGGGACTGCCCGGAAGCCCAGACTTCACCTGCATGCATCCTATTGATGTAGTTAATACTCACTTGTACCCCACGTTTCTGTAATAATATTGTAAAAAAAAAATAATAATTGCCTTCTTAGATGTTACATTTAAATGAGAATTTTAAAATTTTTCTTCTATTACTTTTTGCAGGTTATCCGTACTTTAGATCCTAAACAGAATCAAGGAGCAGCACCAGAAATACAAGCTCTTAAAAATCAACTCCAGGAACGGGACCGACTGTTCCACTCATTAGAGGTAGTTTACTATATATTATGCAATAAAATATTTGCTTTTTGATTCTCTGTTTTCTGGATGTCTTGTTATACAATTGTGTCCATAGATTTAGATAGTCAATTGTAAGTTTTTAAATTTTATTTCATTATTTTATATATTTCCATACTTACATGTGCTTGTTTTTTTAGAAAGAATATGAGAAAACAAAGAGTCAAAGAGAGATGGAGGAGAAATATATTGTTAGTGCCTGGTACAATATGGTAAGAAAACAGCACTTGAGGATATACTGTAAAATTTTATGAATGTGTAATACTTATTATATCCCTTTTACTATAGAAGTAATTCTACAAAATGAATCTAAAAGTAATTGCTTTCCTAACACACACACTAACAAAACCTTAATGCTGATCTTGAACTGAAAAGCAGACATGAGAACCACCATAAATTGGGTTAGAGCATTTTGAAAACCTTTCTAGAGACCAGAAAGATAAGTCTCTTTAATTTTTGACCCTCAGAGCCATTTATTGTGAAGGAAAAGAGACATGATATCTAAACACACATACAGTAGCTTTTGTTTCATGAGACTACTATTTCAGTGCAGGATGGTACTTAGATTGAGGATGGTTTATCTCACAGGGTTTGGGAAAATGTTCACAGTGTCACACACTGAACCACTGGAGGTTTTGAAATTGAATATTCCAACACCAAAAAACTAATGCTTATCAACTTTCTGGTCTGGATATGAATAACTGTGGATTTTAAAGAATGCTATATTTTTTTCAATATTTTTTTCCCAGACTCTCTTTTTCCTTTTTTTTTCTTCCCAGTAAAACCATTTCTTCTGCCTTTTCAAAACGTTAGTTGTCTGAGACAGGAAATTGGACCACATTCCTTTTAACATCCCCCTCTGGCCCTATAGCTCTGTTATTAGCCCAGTACAATTGCTTTTATTTTGCGGTTATAATTGATACTGCCTTTTCAAAATTGGTGTCTGGCTGGGTCCAGTGGCTCAACCTGTAATCCCAGCACTTTGGGAGGCTAAGGCAAGAGGATTGCCTGAGCCCAGGGGTTCAAGACCAGCCTGGGCAACGTGGTGAGACCTTGTCTCTACAATAAATAAAAAAATAGGCTTGGCATGGTGGTATGCATCTGTAGCTCTAGCTACTTGGAAGGTTGAGGCGGAAGGATCAACTGAGACAAGCAGGTTGAGGCTGTGGTGGCCATGAGCATGCCACTGCACTCCAGCCTGGGCAACAAGAGTGAGACTAGAACTCACAAAAGGAAAAAAGAAAAATTAGCCAGGCATGATGGCTCATGCCTGTAGTTCCAACTACTTGGAAGGCTGAGGCAGAAGGATTGCCTGAGCCCAGCAGGTCAAGGCTACAGTCACCTTGAGCATGCCACTGTACTCCAGCCTGGGCGACAGAGTGAGACTCCAACTCAAAAAAAAAAAAAATTAGTGTCCTTGGCTTCCTAATATGATTCGATCCTTGTCAACAATTCATAAATTTCATGATGTTATTTTCACATCTATATTAACCTTGGTCAAAACTATACATTTAACATACTATTATAGTTTTGTTTTTTTTTTTAAAGAGGAAGTCATAGTGGATTTAGAATACTGTTATTGTTAACAAATAAATATTTCTTGGAAATTAAAATTATAAAGTAGAAAAATTAAAACTGTATGTTTAAGGAATTTCTCTGGGAATTAGTCCTGATTTTCAATGCTTCTGTCTCTTCTTTTTCCTCCTTAAGCCTTAGTGTTAGTGATTTTGAAGCTCTGCACTTCAAACCTTATGAGTAATTTCATACTTTTTCCCTGTGATTGCATACTCTTGACTGATTTTTATGACTTCACATATTGTGTTTCTTATAGAACCAGATATATTTATTCTGTGACATGGTACTAAATAATCCTAATTGTCAATTCTTCCAAAAGTGATGGAATAACTCCAAATAGAGCCACACAGTTATGTTCAGATAATAAAACTTTCATGTTTACATTCAGAAAGTTCTGCATCTCAGAAACTTAATCAAAGTGAAGGTGATGAGTGCTGGGAAAAGGTATTAGATAGTTCAGAGAATGGCCTTGTGATGGGCTGAAGTCTTAAAAGTGTGTGGAGAATTTGAATAAATTGCTTGAAATGTGGGAAAGTGGAAAAATTAGGAATATTTAAATAAAATATAATTTTAATATATGTAGCCAAATTAATAAATTAAAGATTACCAATAAATATGTCAATTTTATTTAAATTCTTAAATACTTTGATTTCAAGTTGAGCTAAGAATACACATTCTAGATTTTCTTATTTGGAAAATGTTGTATATTTTACTATATATGATAGACTGAAATTGTACTAAAAATGCAAAACTGTGAACTGTGTTTTCCATAGAAACTACCTAGAGATAGGAAGATTTATCGTCTAGTCTCCTGTCTTCTGTGCGTTGTCATCTTATTCCATGAAAGCTGTATTTCTTTTCATATAGCATGGCATGTCTACCTGGCTCTCCTTTTGCCTCCCAATTGCTTCATCCTTCCTTGTTGCAGCTTCCACTTTGCCCAGCAATTACCTGCATTTAGTCATTGGGGAGATTAAACAGCAGCTTGCTTAATGTTTTTCTGGCTAGGGTTCTTCACCTGTTTGCTAGATGCTTACCAAAAAACTGCTTTTTTTCCTGATCTACTCAGACTTCCGTCTTTGGTAAAGTCAGGTTGTTACTGCCATTGTTGTCACTCCTCCATGAGGTCAGGGCATGTTCTAGAGATTTCCTCCCTCCTGTTCAGATGCTCTGGGCCCAGCTTGGTGCCTCTTCTCCCTCCTAAGTGAATAGGCGACCCTTCTCCTGTCTTCAAGAAAGACCCTCTCTTGTGGGCTATAAGGAATTTGTCTTTGTTTGAGAGTACAAGTCTTCCTTGAAGTGAAGAAAAACAGCATGGTGGTATGTATAATACCTTGTGTGGCTTTCCACCATAAGAAACAACACAAGCATTTGTGATTTCCACAACCCAAATGAATCATCCACTGCCAATCAATTGCGCTTTTTTTCTTGAAAAATCACCTTATACAATTAATTTGAAAGGGAAGTATGATTGAGTATGGGCAATGTATTCAAAAACTGTATCTCTATTATCCACTGTTTTGGTTATTGTGAAATCAGCCAATTAAGCCTGAATTTTTCCAAAAGAAGATTTGGACCTAATTGTTGGAATTAAACAGACTCTGTAAGACTTTAATATTGAATGAGTAGAATTAATATTTCTAATCGTGCTATGTGATACAATGTAACAAATTTTGCATGACAAAATTTTCTTTTGTGAGAATGTGTTCCACTATTTTTTCATTGATTCCTTTTTTTTAATCTTACAGGGAATGACTCTGCATAAAAAGGCAGCTGAAGATAGACTGGCTAGCACAGGTTCAGGGCAGTCATTTCTGGCTAGGCAAAGGCAAGCAACCAGCACACGAAGATCTTACCCAGGCCACGTTCAATCAGCCACAGCAAGGTAGAGACATCTTGCCATTAGAAATTAAAAACCACCTGCATTCACAGCATACTTCTGTTACATATAACAACATTTCAGGAAGTTCAGCCAGCTTACTTTTTGTTTCTCTTCTATGTTTCTCTTCTATGTTTCTCGTTTTGAGGGTCTTTTCTCTCTTCTGTATCTTTGTTTTAGTCTCTTTATTCCTTATTTTGTAGTCCTTTCAGTTCCTTTTAATGTGCCAAAAATTTGTACATGTTCAATTAAAAATGTTGTATAATAGTGTAGTACTTTTCTTTGTATAAAAATGTCCTCTTCCTCAAAATGTAAGCTTTGTAATGAATTAGATTTTCTGCCAATAATTGATATACTATTTATATTCTTTATTGTGCCTCTGTGTTATCATGCTTTATAAGAATGTCTTTGTTTAAAGGGAATTAATCTTTTTATGATGTATTAATCTGTGTTTTCCATTGTTTTCCAGATACACTCCAAATAACTTGCATATTTACTATACAAAATGGTTGACAAGTGTTCTTTTTGCAAAGACATAAATACATTGGCATAGGTGCTAATCACATCTTTTTAAGGCACCTGGTAGAATTATTTGGGAAAAAATGAATTTTCACATTGTTTTATAGGAAATTAAATTTATCAGAAGATTTGGAGACTGTTTTTAAAGCATAATTACATGAAGTTTTATTTTCTGCTATCTTATTTGCTGGCAGAAGTGAGTGCATTGGTGAGCTTATTTTGGGGTAAATAACAAGAAAAAATTGGGCGGTGCATTACTTTTTATGGTATTTTTGGAATATCTTAGTAACAGCACTGGTTTCATGCAACGTGGTTGACATTTATACTTTCAGTTCCTCTCCACATCTAAAAGATTTATCTTTCATATATTTACAAGTGTAGGTAGCCTTACCTGTGGGCTGTTTGTTGACTTATGCCTCATTTGTTTTCCATTTCTCAGTAATTTCTACTATATGACATCTTAATATCATTAAGATTAATAAGTAACTTCTTGTATGTGATATTATGACAGGTTCCTTTACATTTTTTCTTACATCTGCTAGTCCAGGAATTTGTTACTAAGTAGATTTTCTTGGGTATTAGGTTGCCTCAAAGTGCTTACATTTGTTAACAGATTGTAAACTACATTTACTTACATTGATAAAGCACTTTGTATATATGAGGTGCTATTTAAATGCAAAATGTCATTCATTTGAAAATGAAATGCCTCCTGTCTAACTTTCCATATTGACTTGTTTAAGTATTTGGTCCCAAATTATATTTACATTTTCCTTCAGCCTTTTTCTTGCACCATATCCCATTCTTTTAAAAAACAAAACATTTTTGAAATTAGATCAGATTTTTGGTTTGTTTTCAGATAGATAGGTCACTGAATTGGAGAATGTTATTTCATATACTTGCTATTTGGAAGTTCAGGTTTTATTTAGTTCTGTGTATTCAATACAAATTAGTAACTTTAATTCAAGCTAAATGTAATTAAGAATTTTCAGAAACTATATTCAAGTGTTTGATTTTAAATCCTTCCTTTTTTATAAGAAAGTTAACCTAAAAATTAGTAGTGTTTTTATTTGTCCTCAGATAAGAAGAAAGGTGTTAGAATATACTCAAAAATAACTCCATGCATTGTGCTAATTTTTTACATTAAGTACAGAAATCCAGCACAGTATGAATGTTTCTGCCTGATAAGACCGTAATGTAGCAAGAATTAGTAAAATGGAGACAGCCATGTGAGTAGAATCATTGGGTTGCAGGAGTCTAAACACACCTGATCAGGATACAAATTTTGACAATAAAAGATGTAAAACTATTTAAGATAGTTCTTACCTCCACCCTTATTTCAGAAATCACATGAAGAATTCAACTGTCTTAAAGCAAATTAGAGTCGGGCTCGGTGGCTCAGCCTATAATCCCGCGCCTTTGGGAGGCTGAGGTGAGTGGATTGCCTAAACCTGCGGGTTCGAGACCCTTCTGGGCAGGCGAGACCTCATCTCTACAAATAAATCAAAAAATCAGCCGGGTGTGGTAGCGCGTGCCTGTAATTCCGGCTACTCGGAAGGCTGAGGCGGAAGGATCGCCAGAGCCCAGCAGGTCGAGGCTGCGGTGGCCAGGAGCGGCCACTGCACTCCAATCTGGGTGACAGAGTGAGACTCCAACTCAGAAGAAAAAAAAAAGCAAATTAGGACATGTATGTTAACCTTGGAAAATTAAAATTATTTGGGAATTATACCTGCAGAATAATATAGATGAAAACAGTAAAACCAGGCACAATGGTTCACACCTGTAATCCCAGCACTTCGAGAAGCTGAGGCAAGAGTATTTCTTGAGCCCAGGGATTCCAGACCAGCAACTTGTCAAGACCTCGTCTCTATAGTAAATCAAGAAAAATTAGCCAGGTGTGGTGGGGCACACCTGTAGTTCTAGTTACTTGGAAGGCTAAGGCAGGCTCTCCTGAGCCCAGCAGGTCAAGGCTGTGCTGGCTGTGAGTGTGCCACTGCACTCCAGCCTGGGCCACAGAGTGAGACTCCAACTCAAAAAAAAAAAAAAAAAAAAAGAAAAGAAAACAAGTCTATGAACCATTCACTGAATGAGCTCTATTCTGTGAGACGAGAAGTTATAATTTTTGTTTCCTTTATTTCCTGCCCCATTCCGGGTCTCCTACCAATCCATCCACCTAGCCAGATATTTTTCTCTAATTGGGTTGCAAGGTGCCAAGCTTTTTATAAAGAAGTTTTACTTCTGATTTTTCATCATCTGTTGTATGCTATTATTTTAGTGTTTACATGTATGACGTTCACTCCTCTTTACTATCACTTTAAAGTTTAGTATATCACTTTCATTACATAGAAGACATCGTATTTCTAAACATTTTTTAATGTTTAAAAACAAAACAGGCTTTTATAAAAATAGCTCTGAATATACTTCAGGTGTCAGAAATCTAGGAATAAAACTTAACTGTAGCAGGGATAACCTCTTTTCCCTTTTCCAGCTTTGGACAGAGTATTTGACATTTCTGTTTTCTCCAGTAATGATTAATATTTCCCCAGGAAGTTCATGATGTTGTATGGTCTATCTGGAAGTTAAAAGATTTAGGAGCTTTATCTAGATGACAGTGATGCTATACTGTCTTTTCACATAGTCCTTGTATACAGTAGCTTCCTGAAGCCACTGTTTGCCTGTGCAGTCCCAGCATCTCCAGTGGAGTAAGTGCAGTACTACTTTGTCAAGTAGGAGCAAGTGTCTGAAATCTTAGAAACAAAAAGCTAATTTTCTGTTTTTCTTCTAGCCAGGGTGAGAAAATACAAAGTAATGAATTTAAAACATGGCATTTATGTCCCACATTGTGCATTTAGTAAGTTTGTAATAGGAAAACAGTCCAGCAAATAGTGTAATTTATCATATTTGAAAAGAGAATAAATTAAACAATTGTATGATATTTTAAAATAATCTTGAAATTATCATTTGTCTTATTACTTTATAATAACCAAGAAAAATAAGTCCCAAAATAAAAGGCCCAGGTTCCAAAATTTATCAAGATTGATTGATTTCTATTAAATATCCTTTACCTGGTAAAATTGGCTTAATGAGATGATTAGATTATAATGAAAGTGATTGAAAAGTTCAGATGTACAAAATTAAGCTAAATGTTATTCATTCAGAAACATCAGCCTATATGTCTCAGTTCTCATAAAGGGATAAAAATTCATGCTGTGAAAATAGATCAGTAGTGAGTGAGTGATAAATGAGTTAGGTTGAAGAAAAGTTGCATTTTATTTATGAGCCACTTTGCTCATATCTCCTTTTCAGTAGCAGTTTATCTCTTGTTTTATAATACTATGTTAAAAACTTGAAAATCAGCCGGGCTTGGTGTCTCAGCCTGTAATCCTACCCCTTGGGAGGCTGAGATGAGTGGATTACCTGAGCCCGCGGGTTCAAGACTTGCCTGGGCAACTTGGCGAGACCTCATCTCTACAATAAATCAAAAATCAGCCAGGCGTGGTAGCGCGCGCCTGTAGTTCCAGCTACTTGGAAGGCTGAGGCGGAAGGATCGCCGGAGCCCAGCAGGTTGAGGCTGCCGTGGCCGGGAGCGGCCACTGCACTCCTGTCTGGGTGACAGAGTGAGACTCCAACTCAAAAAAAAAACAACCTGAAAATCGTTATCCCAATATAAGAATGATCTCGAAAGAAAAATCAGAAAAATCTAAAAATTCTCTTCACTCTCTGCATTTAATCTTCAGTTTTCCTGATCTCAGACTCCAGGAGTGTTACAGTTAACCCCATTTGGAACTTGTGAGATTTAGCAGAGACGCATCCACAGCCCACAGCTAGTGGAAACCCAGCTAGTTTTACAACCACGTGGATAAGACATCTTTGATTCTGAAGTGAGAGGAAAGTGCTTGGCATGTTGCTTCTTTGTTGAGAGCAAAATAATGACATAAAGACAAAGTGTTTCTTGTTGTCTGTTCATTGAACTAAAGAATATTTTAGCTTTTTATTCTTATGAAGAGATTTTTTGCCTATAAATGACCATCAAACTGATGTAGCATTGTCCTTCCTAACAGTGATGCCTCTGTGATATCCTACAGTAGGATGAAAGACTGTACTGAACAAAGTAAAATGGGATACCAGAATCTTTGAAAATGATCACTTTTTAAAAAAATGTTTCCATTTATGTAAATAAAAGGGTTCCATTCAATAAAGACAATCTCTTTTTCTATAATCCTGTCAAAATGACAGTTTATGAAACCTAGTTTCATTACATTTAGAAAGAGGTTTCAGAGCTTATTCTTTATAACAGTAATGATTTGAATATTTTATATCATGAAGTTTTTTATATGAGGAAGGCTACTCTCAGTGTAGGTCATCCAATTTTTTACCTTCTGTAAAAATATTTAAATAATAATTGGTGTATATTCCTTTTATTTAAATCTTTAACAAATGTTTTATTGTCCAATTTTAGCACAGAAATGTTCTAAAGTTTTGCTGTAAATACTTTTCAGTTCTCAGAAGCCTAAAAAGGGGAAACCATAATTTGCTGCTGACTCCCATTCCCCAAAATGACAGAAGTATTAATATTTAGCTTCCTTTCTAGAACCTGAAGGACAGCACAGATGGGGTAGCATCCATCTCTTTTAAATCACTGATTATGTTCTGGGGAAGTTTATACAGGTTAGTTTTTAAACAGTCTTTTATCAATCCAGTTCACATGTATTATCTTGATGAATATAGAAACTTCCAAAATTTATATTTAATGTTGTCTTAAAACATGAATATCCTTGGATAATCTTAACATTGCACTGAAATGGTAGAGGAAGGAACATTAGGTTTATTTGAGAAATGAGACCTGAACCTAATTATGGCAAGTATATGAGTTTTGGCGATTGTGAGGGGTCCATATGTTTCCTATGATACATGTATATATCAGGAATTATTCAATGTCTTTCTTCTGTATTTTTCTGTTTTCCAATAATACTCTGTAAGATTAGGTTTGCATGCAGTATGTAAGTGAGAATAGAAACCTAAAAAAGTAATAGAAGACTATTAGGTCAATTTTTTTCTAGAGAGTAGAATGGATTATTAGGGTAAGAAATGGCTTAATTATAAACAATGTAAGCAAATGGAAGTCTTAATACAATGAAAACTTACACTATCTAACAAATGTTTCTAAAGTAAT